GGAGAAGCTAGCTTCTACTATTGCTTATTAGATAAAATTTTTCACGGATTACAAAACCCTATAATTTTCAAAACTATGAGAGGTTGGTAAAAAAAAGTTAAGAACTATACCGTAAAAACGATGTCAATTTTACATATAATATAACATAGTTGATCTATCATTCCTCTAAAAATCAATAGAAGCTAGGTTTTATCATAAGTTGTTAGATGACATTTTAGATGAACCACAAAATCGTATTATGTCTACAATCAGGAAAGTAAAGTTGTTATGATGAAATAGGCACATACTGTATTAGTAGGTCTCTAAGAAGTGTGATGTCATTTTCTTTTCATGCTATTCTTTTCAAAAAGTGAAATAGGATATCAAATATAATAGAAGGCTCATATCATCATCGCCATCTGGGTTTTCTGAAGCGTATTACATAATTGCCTTAGGACAGCTAGCTACGTTGCACTAATAACCGTCGGGTTTGTAGCCGTTTTACCTCTTCCTATTTAAAAAGACAATCATACAAATTCTACTACATTTGCACGATGCCGAACAAAAAATGTTAAACAGAAGTCTACTGATCATGTCTTCTATGAGTCTATTACTGGCGTTCTCTGACTTAATCATAGATGAGAAAATGAAGTGAAGCTTAACTTGATTTAAGATTTTGGTTCAATGACGTCACTTGACTTGGACTTTACAAACCTGTTACTTACACATCTCTGGAATTATTTTGATNGACATTTTCCTTCGCGCATTGCATCAACAATTACTCAAGCAACACGGAGGAGAAAGTGTTACGTTTGTGCTCATACTGTGAGGAGAGACAAGTCAAGAACAGATACATTGTATGAATGTATTGAATGTGATGTAGGGTTGTGTGTAACGGATTGTTTTAAAGATTATCATACTCTGAAAGTGTTCTGAATTATGTATTTGGTCATATTTTCAAAAATAAACGTTGATTTGAAATTATAAATATTTTTAGTTTTTAAAAAAAATCCCGGACTCAAAGGGTTAATCATAGATGAGAAAATGAAGTGAAGCTTAACTTGATTTGAGATTTTGGTTCAATGACGTCACTTGACTTGGACTTTACAAACCTGTTACTTACACATCTCTGGAATTATTTTGATGCTGCGTTTATTGTTTATGCTGTAGTAGAAAATAGCGATAAACAAAGCAGTTAACTTTGAACCGTAGTTGCAAAGGTTTTATGTGATATGAAAGGAAGCAACCATTCCGAGTTTTCTTTACTGCTATCGTTATTGTTTTTTGTGTTAGCCAACGAAAAAGATGATTGATTCTCGTCATCTGAGTCGCTTTCTTCGTTGGAAAACTACATGCTATCGTCAATAGTGTCTAGAGCCTTGATGGCAACGAGTGAATGAACAGATGTTCAAATAACACTTCTTTCGACAGCAAGATGCCAGAGACGCGCTGTCATCTGAGAGCACATACTGGTTTCTTGACCGCCAGGACTGCAGATACAATACTAGCCCTGTACTGGTTGTTCACGCTCTTTGTTAAACTATATCGTAGCAACACAGTGTAAATATGGGTCCGCTTTCTGTCCAAAGTCACACTCCAATTGATTAATATAGTTCAGATAGCCAAGATGGCGATGGTGATATGAACTTTCTATCATATTTGATGTCTTATTTCGCTTTTTGAAAAGAATATGACGTGACACTTCTGAAAGACCTACTAACACAGTATGTGTCTATTTTATCATAGCGAATTTACTTCTCTAAGGGTGTGGGGTTTGAGGTGGAAATGTAGGCGAAAAGCAGATTCGCACCTACAGACTTATTTAAACCCACACCCGCGCCCTAAGTAATGAACCTTGTGAAAGGTTTTCTTGACCACGTGAACTAAAACTGAACCTTGTGGAACATTAGTTGAATCTTGTGGTACACCTACTGCCGTTTGGATTTCATCAGTAGGACATATTGGCTCAATTTCCTGCTTAATAAGACTAACTAATGATTGTAAACATTTAAATTAACTAAAAACAAATGATAGTTGACAATAGAAAAAATATTTCGCGGCGTACCCTTTTAAATCAAAATACTTATCGATTTCTATATCGATAGTACCAAATTTGAACTTCTAAAAATTGAAATAATAAATTGATTTTTTATTTTAATGTTGCTACCTGGTTCTGAATGTAAAATGTTCGTTGCTTTCGAAACAACAACAAGTAATATTTAAATTTCCTTTTATATAATTAATTAATCATTATTTGATCCTTAATATTTTTTTTTGATAACGAAAACATTGAGATTTCTTAAAACAATAAAAGAAAAATACAACTTTTATATAATATAATTTCTTACAGTAGCCCCTCTTCTGATCAAAAAACCACAGCGTATTATGTGTCAATGAAATACTGTTAATAATTGTTCACCTTGACTTCGGCAACTTGCTGAGTATACATAATGTACAATTGGGAGAAACCGAAAACTATTCATCTAAAATAAATATTGTAGATTATAGAAAGCTCATCTATTAAATGATGTTTAACGAGACAGTATATAAATGATCTTTATAATAATCTCGATAGTTCATAATAAATTTTAGAAAATCTTGATTGAATAGTAATCATTGATTTATGCATCGTTTTTTCAATCATATTTGCTGAAGAAAGTTAAAAAGTTTTTTTCTTTTATGTATGTTGTTGAATGAGGAGAGAAGAATTTTCTTTCATTAAATTTACGAGACCCTTTCATATGGTTAAACATAAAAGCAGCAAAAGAAACAGAAACACATGAAAGTTTTATTGGTTGTGAGATGTATTAAGTTTGACATCTCTATCTTATCGATAGAGGTCATTATTGATTTTTTGATTATTTTAGTTATGATCATATAGGATTTATCATGAGTGTTTCCAGTTCAATTCTACATCTAATGTTATAGTTTTGAAAATTATCTCTATTGTTTGGTAACCGTATGATCGCGAAAATATAAAAAGTATCGTAAAGTTTTGCCTGCTCGAGAAAAATTGAAGTTCTTTGTTTTCTTCACGGTACAAACAGTTAGAATAAGAATAGATGGTTCATTAAGACCCTGATTCGAACTTTATATGTTCCTCAATATATGTCATTTCACTTCTTTCTCTTCAAAAATACAGGAGTAAAATGTGTCTTAGACTTTTTCATTTCATTTTAGTGTTGAATCAATATGACTTGAAGACTGGAGAATCATTGAACTTCATCTTCATGTAATTATATATCGATATGCTTCTCCCTCCACCATATATATTATATCGATAATACTCTATACAGTTTATTAATATATTTATTTCTCTCATGAAATTAAGTCAAAGATATAATCGAAATAGAAAATTAAGAATAAATGAGAATTCGGAACATAAAGATATAATGCAACAGAAATTCATTGACTTATTTTGTTTTCATATAATACCCCTTCTTAATATTTAATGTTATTTTAAGAATTTTGTCTTCTACAATTGATATAGCATGTTTGAAGCTCTTTCTATCTGATGATTAAACAATCATATATATATGTATAATCAGATAAAGCAAATATTAATTATCATTTCTACAATACTGGTTTTAATTGCTAAGATTATAACTGAATAGCATTTTAGGTTAAGTTAAAAAGAAGATTTTTAACATGTTTTCGTCAAGATAAACTTATTATTATATATAATCATAGATCAATATATATATAAGAAAAAAATCTGTTAAATTTTCTTTCGTTTTGAAATATTAAATTTTCGAAATTCGAACTTGAATATTTTTCTCAATGAATTGAATACTAATCAGATTTTCATTGATTTCAATTCACTTCATAAATAATTAAAGATCTAAACTTTTTATTTATCTATTATATGATTTGAATAAATTACTAATCAATCTTATTTGGTATTAATCATAAAAATCAATAGACCATGACCATGTGTGTAAAAGAAATTCAACAATCTTATTCGAACATTTTTCTTATTAGAACTTATTGAAGATTCTGTATATTGTAGCTTTCTCACTCCTTTGTTTTTGTCACTTATTCGCCTGATTTTAGTGTTCGTATGTAAAGAAAGATTTTGCCGCTAGGCTGAATGTTAGTAATGCTAGTGCTAGAAAAGGGGGAGAACATTAGAAAAAGAGAGAGAGAGAGAGAGAAAGGAAAAGACAATTGTTCAAGGCACAAAGCAAAGAGCGAATCTTATCTTCCGATCAATTGTTCCAAAGTATCTACTCATCTTTTCTCGTTGCTCTAGTCAACTTGGTTGTCGTCATTCGTAGACACTCATAAAGACAGTGAAAAAAAAAGAGGGAAGAGAAGAAGAATGATAAGAAAAGAGCAAGCGTGAGATAAAAAAATGCAATTTTCCTTATGTGTATTAGCATTAGAAAAGAGAGAGGATGATCCGATCGTGAATTCACATCTCATCGTGTCGCGCGCGATCGAGATGGAACGCGTGTGTGCGCACAAAAAGGAATACTAATAAAATATTTCTGTCTTTTCCGTTCTCTCTAGTTCTTTCTGTTTGAATCTGATGATAGATGCATCTCTCTCCTTCGTGTGTGGTGTATTAGCTCAAGGACTATGAATACTAGTAAAGAAACGAATGACTTCAAATGCAAAGCGGTCCAATGTGTGTGTCGTGTATGCTCTGTAGTCATAAATAATAATTTGAACAAAAAAGAGAAAGAGACAGGGAGAGAGAGAGAGAGAGAGAAAGAGATGTTGCGTGCTAAGTTATCTACTCAGAATCTAACGGCAAAATTGAACAACAATAGTAATCTTTCTCTAAACGCTTCGACTTTGTTTTATGCATTAGGTATATATGAGTGTGTGTTTGCATTTTAGATGATTTGACACATCATCAACATCATCATCATTTCTATCACCCTTGTGTCTCGTTACACACAGTTCATTGGCACTTTTTGTTTTCTATTGTATTCGCTAGTCGATTATAACACTAGTCCCTTTCCCGGTTGCGCAGTAACGGCGCATGGATGGGTAATTTTCATCATAAGGCACTGATGATCTCTGCTTCGGTCAGTGCCTATACTGCGCCTGCACTTATGACCGTTTGTTTACTTACTGATTATTGGATATATGGAAAACAAACAAGATTACCACAAAATCAAATAGTAAAAGCGGGCGATACAAAAATTTTAAATTATACTTATCATCGAATTGGTCTTTGGCGAGAATGCATGAGAGAAGCAATAGATATTCCGTATACATGTGAGATAGTTAAATATTCGAAAACAGAAGCAAAATTAGAAAAAGGTTTTAAAGCTGTATCATGTAAGATTTTAAGTTTTATTATTTCTTGTTCTATTTTGTAGTATAATTCAAATATAAGTATTCTTTTTTTTTATTCTTTTTACTTTAAACTAGATCGATCAGCACCAAGTATGGCTTGTTTTATAGCTGCATCTGCTCTTTTAATATTGGCTATTTTTTTGTTTACTCGTGGTCTTTGTAAACGACGTCGGAAAGCTGTGTTTTTCATCTCAGGACTTTTATTTTCTATCTCAGGTGAAATTAAAAATATTAAATTCTTTTTTGTATGTTTTTTTTCTAACAAACAGGTTTGCTAACAATGGTTGGTGTTACCTTATACGTTTCAATTACAACTGAAGAATCCGTTAAAATTGATCAAGAGGTTCAGGTGATGTATTGTTTCTATGGATATTCATTCCTGTGTGCCATTTTATCATTTGTTTTGCAAGAATTAACTGGTGTTTTAACTGTTTATTGGTTTATTTATCGATTTCGTGCACTTGTACGTAAACAAGAAAAATTACGCGAACGAACTCGTCAACTTATGGGTAATTGTTTATCAATGACAACTGCTTTACCATTAAACCTTGCTTCAATGTCTCCAATGAATAATAATACAACATCGACAGCAAATCGTTCAAATCAAAATCATGTACGTTATCAACATGCACCGAATGATGCATCAAATCCTTTAGTACATAAACAACAACAACAAAGAAGACGTATACCATTTGATAAATCGTATTCACCGCAACCATTACAGCGAATTGATAAAGTACATTACACAGCAATTGCACCGGTACGATCACCAACACTTACTTATGGAGATTATTGTCGTGTTCTAATTCGTACCGAAGATATGGATTTACTTACACAAATGGTTAAATCAAAATCTCAAGCACAATTATTAGCCAATTCAAGACCAACAACACCAGCCCCCACAATTAATACAAAAATCTCAGCAAATTCACATATATCAAGACAAAATAATGATAATACAACACGACGAAATACAAGAAAAGGCGTTAAACGGACTACATCTGTTTAATTTCATTTTCTGTCTTTCTTTTAGCAAGATTCTTTTTTTTTTGTTCTTTATTAGTTGTTATTCTCTATTTCGTGACTACTATTTAATTTTCAATGAAAAAAAAAGCACACATACACATACACACACATATACATGAAAATCCATGTGCCTTTGATCTTCAAAATATTTTTTCATAACAATGCGAGGTTTTCATAAATAGTTTTATTTAAGCATCTGTGAAAAGAATTTTCTTTTTTCGATTGATTACAAACTAAAGGATTACATATATTTAGATGTTATTCATCCACATATACTTGAAAACTTGAGCAAATATTCTGAGTCGGTTGTAAATATGCCGCCTACTCTACCATGTGGTGCCTCTATTTCATTTGTGAATCAACAGAATCATTTTCTTCACGTTTTTTTGCTTCGATGATATACTGTTGTTGGGTTTGCCAAAAATGAATACATGCACTACGGTTGGCATGGCTCTGTATTACACAAAGACACATCAACGCGTCCTTCTACTTTCATTCTCCTATTTTTTTTTACATTTGGCATCGTCGATCACAAACATACGCACGCACACATACACACACTTGAGTAGCTGAAGCAGAAGCAGAAGAAAAAATAGAAACTTTTCGGATTAATAGAGGGGTATAGAGAATGACACTGCAAAAAAAAAACATAAAAAGGTAACGGTAACGAAAACATTTATCGAGTCGGACGAGCAAGAGAAGAAATATATGAAAATGAATTATGAATTAGCTTGTCAGATTTCTATGCAACTCATTTATTTGTTTTCTTCTTTTTCAGACATATTTTTTTAATATTATGGCGTACACAACTACAAATTCACATCAACGAACAATATATTCAGGTGGTTCACGAGATAATCTTCAATATCAAAAGCCAACATATTCACAACAAGTACCATCATATTCTCATGCACAAGAACGTCATATTTATGAAGATCAACCATATTATATCAATGAGCAAACTATTTCTGGACACAATATTGATGGAGACAATCGACGAAGTGGACGGGTTTGTTATATGTTTTCTCTTTGTTTTTTACGAAAGTAGAATTCTCAATTACTAGATAAATAAACTGGTTGCTCTCTTTTTGATATTTTCTAAAAATATTGAATAACACTAGATTTTTCTAATATCTAATTATTTGAAAAAATTACAATATTAATTTTTGTCAAAGGTTCAATACCATGTCAAAGTGAACGTAGGTATCAAACAAAGAAATGCTCATAGTTCATCGATAACCAATATGCACGTATTCATTTAATATTAAAAGCAGCTTTCGGGGCATAGCTTTTAAAAACATTCAATATGCTTGCATCGAAGAAAAAGAAAACATATCGAAATTAATTCAAAATAATTACTTTTCGTATTATTCAGTTTTTCAAATAATTATTGAGTACTTAATTCAAGTTTTATCGATAATCATTTTTAAATATTATTCGAAAAGAACAGCATACAAAAATACTTATCGGTTAATATCCAATATTGACCTATATTCATATATATGCCTCTACTTTTCTTCATACCTGAAATACGCAAACCACAAAACAGGATTCGTATACACCTTTTCATCTGATGCCTCTCTCAATATTTGACACTGAGACAACATGTAAGAATAATAGGTTGTCCTCAATTCAAACACGTCGTTATAACATTCATCATCATTTGAGTATTTGATATCACTCAAATTTCCTCTACTGATGATATCTAAATGTTCATTCTTTTTCTTTGATCGATGTATTACGCATAAATATACTCTTATGAAGTGAATCTTTTCATTTATTTTTATTTTTCATAATTCAAACAATCATCAAAGAAAAGAATTGCTTAAACTTCTTTCGATTACACATATACACAATGCCTTGAAGTATATGTGTATGTTATTCTTCTCGCATTCATGTAGCTTCGAGTGACTGCTGGTGATACTTTTGCAATATTAACGCATATATACACATATATAAGCGAAACATTTTTTCGAGTGTCCGCAAATATATATCTAAACGATAGAGAGAAATCATTAGTGACCATATTTTTTTTCTTTCTGTCTTGAAAATAAAAATTTGTCGTACCAAACATTGTATGAATGTGTGAGGGAGATATAATATTGTTACAAAGACTTAACATATCCTTTATGCTTGTACTCATTTTTGTCATTCTCTTGTAGCCTACATGCTTATGTGTCCTGTTTGCATATAACTATTCTGTCACTCATTTACTCTTTCTCTGTGTGTCTCTACCTAAATATATTCTTCGCTTCAATTTTTATTTCTTCCTCTCAGTTAGCTCTTCTCGTTTACTTGTTCGTTCAATAAAACTTTGAAAGAAAAGCGAACAAAGAAAACAGAAAGAAAAAGAATTGCACATAGATCAATATCTCGTTTTCTTCTACACGAGAACTATTGATAGAGTAATCGCGTTGATGAGATGCGCTTATTATCACCATCATTACTATCATCATTGCACTATTGCTTTTGGTTTAAATTAATTTTATAACAAGAAAATAAAAATGGAAGACGAATTAGTATATGTGAGTGTGTATAATATAAACCGATTAAAATAAGAATTTTAAATTTCAATATAAAATAGAAAACATATATAAATACTATATTTAGGTAACATATAATGATAGTGATGGTGATTTTAATCGACCAACAAATACAACTACAAGAATTGCTAATGGTCATACATCGTATCAATATGAGTCACTTGGTGGTGATGCTGGTCGAGAAAAAATTTCATGTCAAAATTGTGATCGAAATTTATCTGGTTCACGATATATACTTAAAGATGATCGTCCTTATTGCGTAAAATGTTATGAAGATCGTTTTTCTAATACATGTGATGAGTGTCGAAGAAAAATTGGTACCGATTCAAAAGTTAGTAAAAATAAAAAATGAAAGACATAAGAATAATGAAATGTTTTTTATTTTTTGTTTTTCAAAGGATCTTTCATATAAAGATCGTCATTGGCATGAAAAATGTTTTTTTTGTTCAGTATGTAAAACACCACTTGTTGATAAACCATTTGCTTGCATAAATGAAAAACTTTATTGTGGAGAATGTTATAATCAACAATTTGCTACACGTTGTGATAAATGTCATCAAATATTTAGACCAGGTTAGAAAAAAAAAAGAATATTTTCTTTAATTATATAAATATTAAATAAATAAATCTATTTTTTTAGGAACTAAAAAACTTGAATATCGTGGACAACAATTTCATGAACATTGCTTTACTTGTTATTCATGTTCACAACCTATTGGTACAAAAAGCTTTATTCCAAGAGATCAAAAAAGTTATTGTATTCCATGTTATGAACAACATTTTGCGACTAAATGCGCTCGTTGTCTTAAGGTATATAGTATATATATATATAGGATTTAAATGTTTTCAACAAATATAATAATTTTGTCTTTTTCTTTAACTATTAGGTGATAAACCAAGGTGGTGTAACATACAAAAATCAACCATGGTATAATTTTAATTTAAAAACTAAAGTTTTTTTTTTTTTTACTATAAGTATTTATTTCTTAGGCATCGTGAATGTTTTACATGTACGAATTGTAAAAATTCTTTAGCTTCACAACGGTTTACATCACGTGATGATCATCCTTATTGTGCCGATTGTTTTGCTCGACTTTTTGCTAAAAAATGTTTTGCATGCAGTAAACCAATAACTGGTAAATGAAACCAAAAAAATTGTAAGATTAGAAGTATATTAATTTTGTTCTATTGAATAGGTGTTGGCGGTACGCGTTATATATCATTTGAAGACCGTCATTGGCATAATGATTGTTTTGTATGTCAACGTTGTCGAACTTCACTTGTTGGTCGAGGTTTTCTTACTGAAGGACCTAATAATATTGTTTGTCCTGATTGTGGTAAACGAGAACATTATCATGAAAGAGAAAATAATGGTTATACACCTGAGCATCGTACTGTTATTAGTTATCATCATAGAACAAATTAAAAAAAAAGATTTGACTGTTTTTTTTTCTTAAAAGTGCACTTTTGTGACGAAAAAAAAAAAACAAAATTAAGCGATCTTTTTCTCCGTTTTGAATGACTGATAAGCTAATTAATTTAACTATTCAAATGAAGATAATAATAAAAAAGAAAACTAACATTTAACTCTTTAATTTTTACACTTTTCTTTTTTTTTATTTTCATTTTCATTGCATTATGTTTAGTTTTTTTTTTCTTGCTTATATTGCTTTTTATTCTCTGATTTGGTTCTTTCTTTCTTTCTTTCTTTTTCGATACAGAATAGACAAAATAAGATGTGTGTGTGTATTATATTATTCATAATGATTCTTTTTATATATGCACCACTCTTTTAGTAATTTAATAGAGATCTGACTGAAATTTTAATAACTATAAATCTGACGTCATTTAAAAATTGAATATAATCATAAAGAAAAACAAAGATTAAGTCGCAGTTTTCTTTTTGCATGACAAAGCAATTTAGTTGTATGCTGTTCAAGCGATTCAAAAGCAGCAGGACTATATTATATTTTTTTTTCTTCCTCTTTTCAAATGAAGTAATAGAAAGATATAAGAGCACGTATGAAAAAATAAAATATGCAAGCTGAATAGAAAATATATGATTTCAACACTCATTATCGACTTAATAGTAAATTTGTAGTTTGATACGAAACAGAATCCGAGAAGACAAGTGCTTTATTTATGTTTTAAACATGTCATATGAAATAGAATCGTACTAGTATCTTATTCGTACAAATATGTACTTTGAACTGTTTTATTAGTATCTTGCAACTTGATTTGACCCAGAGTATGAGGTCGGGTATGAGATCATACCCGAATCTAATCCGGTAAATTTATTTTTAATGAAAACTCATCTACAGATAATTGTTGAAAATAACATTCATGTAATTATACATTCCAGCGTCATTGGCAATAAGCAAACGTATGTTTAGTGAAATTGATTGGATTTTAGAAGCAGAAAGACACAAGGTGAATTCTGAATCACTGATTTTTTTTGTAGAATTTGAGATGATTTCTTCTTTTTGTTGCTGTTTATAGAAGAAATTCACTAGTATACTTTTTCATATAAAATAAAACTGTACAAAAACCATACTAAGACTGTGAAGATATTTGCCAAGTATCGATTAGCTCTGATCTGGGTCCGATTATGAAAAGTTGTACCCGTGCAGAGCACTACTGTTTACTCAATGAAACGTTGTTTGAATAAGGAAAAATGATGTTTTGAGTTAATGAAGTCAAATAATTTTTGAACTCGGACTCGTTAATTTAACATTTTTTGGAGCTCGAGTTAGATCTGACACTCGCTCATCAAACTTTTTTAGACTCGCATTATAAATAAACGCTTTTATATTCAGATACAGAATAAATTCGGCGATTGGTTTGTTCTTGTGTGTTTTCAAATACTCAGATGAGAGCATACGGATCGATTCTGGAAGAAGAACTTTGCAAGTCGTTTAAATTAGGAGAAAGAATTTTGAGCGAGAATGTTTTCTGAGTTTTCCACTAGCTTCCGGCCAACTCCTTGCTGTTTCTGGTCAAAAACTACGGAAAAATCATTACGTGAATCCAAAAACATTTCAGTTCCGTTGATTCTATGAGTTTTCCTATTGGATACGCAGTGTTTTATTCAGATTTTCTCTTTTGGAGAGACAATTTAAAACTCCGTCAGGACAAACATCTATTTTTGGAAGCGTAGACACATAGTACGTAGCATAATAACTAAAAATCCCGAGAGAGCCAATCCGATGTTTGGAAGAGTACCACCCACTCCGCCCCCACTCTAGATATAATATTGGATGATGATGGCTTTTTGGCATCATTTGATTCCATTTCGACGAAATCTGCTAGTTTCTGGAGTTCAAAATTATTGATCTGGGTAAAGTAGAACTTTCTTTTTGATTAAAACGAATAGGATTAACATTGCTCATACAATGCCTTAGAACTAAATCAAAAGTATAACCAATGAGGCTCTACAGAAGTTCGCATCATATTTCACTTAGTATTCCAAAGACAACTGTATATTGCTGAAATTCATCCGAGACTCGCCTAGATCGATACGAGATTGAACGTAATCGTAGTTTGGATATTAACATATATATATATACACATAGAATTAAAATGAAACTTGTTTGTTTTTTCATGAAAAATTGATAATCATGTTAGAATTAGTGTAGTTTTTATCCGAGTAAATAATTATTGTATGAAAAAATTCGAGTATATTATTATTATCTGTTAAAAGTTGATAATAATAGAAAAGTAGAGTTATATATAGATAATTTCGAAACTATGTTTCGGCAGTTGTAGAAAAAAGAAAATCTGCACGCTCTTGTTATTTTGCTAGCTGGTTCAAACACCGCAGTTAGAAGAAAAAAAAAGTGAACACAAAAAATAACAACGATAACATAAAATCCATTAAAGTCCATCTTGATTAAATATTAACATATTTCATTTAATATTTTCTTATTTTTCATCTTTTTTCTTCTTATTTGCATCATTATTATCGTCGTCATCAGTATTTCTCTTTTGTTGTTGTTGCACTTGTTCAAGAGCTGCTCGTACAGCTTCACTATCAACATCAACACCAGGTAAATCTCGAAGAACATCTCGTAGAAATTGAGGATCGTTAAGTGAAGCTGCAAATGAATCTGTACTTTGTTGTTCCTCATTTGTCTATTATAAAACAAAAGAAAACAATATTTAGAAATATTTAACGGAACAATCTACTAACTTTTCCTGGTTGTTCACTAGTCGCTGCAGTCGAAGGTTCTTCTTTCATTTCAACATCGGTCGTATCTAAATTAAATATGAATAAAAGAAAAGTTGAGAGAAATAAAATATATACATACTCGCATTTTCGGCTTGTGACATAGACATTTGGATAGCTAATGCAATTTGTTCATCTTCTGTAAGTCGTGTTACATCCATTTCATTGCCACCTGTTAAATTTTCGAGAGAAGGGCCTATTAAATAATATATTATCAAGAAAAAAAAAGAAAAGAAGAAGAAAAAATTTAATTACCAGAAGTTCCTGTGTTTGCTGATGAATTTTGTTGGCCTCCTTCCCCATCTGTGCTTCGACCTATTTCCGCTTCTTGTACACGTCGTTGTTCTTCCATTGAAATTCTGAGTGCCTAGAAATTTGTTTTCTTTTACATTAGAAATACGATAAAAATAATTAATGAAAATAATAACAAACCATAGCTAATTCAGGATCATCTTCAGGATTTATTCCAAATGCAAATGCACTAGCTGAATATCCAGTTGGTAGACCAGAACCATCTTCACTTTGAATGATTGGTGTATTAATAAGTGTATCCGGTAAATTAGCTCCTGATGGAACACATATCAAATGAGAACTAGATTAATGAAAATAAATAATTATTTAACCATCATTATCTGTATTTTTTACTTTGTATTTTCTTTTCCATTAATTATTGTAATAAATTCTTCAAATTTTTCTTTTGATGACTAAATATTGAATAGAAGAAAAAATTAATACATTAAATATTTATTTTATTTTATTAGAATATTCTTACTTCATCACCAAAAGCAACAATATCAATTGATATTTTTTCTTTTTTTAATCGTTTTGCTAATTTTGTAAATTCATGTGTATCAGCTTCAAGTGGACTACCAACAAAAGCAACAATACGTGGTCGATGATTTTTTCCTTGGCGATGTTTTAATGCTAACTATTAAAAAGAAAATAATAATTTCTAATTCTTGCAATTCAATATTTGATGATTAAGAATAAGTAACACAGATTCAATAGAACAAACTCATTCTCTAGTAGAGTCGGTCAGATTAGTTCCGAATTGGGACTCAACTGGCTCTATTCTCTCGATGTCGAGTCACTTATTTAGACCGAGACAATGTGCGTTTAATCAGTACTAGTGATTAATAAAGAAATCTAAAATTGTTCGATTTTTCAGACCTTTATTCCTAAGATATCGAAGTTCTACTTGATTTTTCAACAAAAAAGCTGTGGTCTCTCTTAGATCATGTGGAAAATTAACTTATGAATGTCGATTTAAAACTTTGCATGAACAAAGTTCTCAATAAGATTAGCTCATTGAATAAGTCACAACCTTTCTAGCATCTCCTATTCTGAGATATTCAATATTGGAAATTCTTTCAGGGGTAAAAGCAAATTTTTTTCAAATATTTACATTTTCACAAATGAATTATTAGTTGTGCAATCAATTAAACCGATTAAGAACTTTGTTCGTGCAACGTTTGAAGTCGAAAATCGATAGTCGATTTTTCACATCACCTGAGGAGGACCACAACATTGTTGAAGAACCCAGGGAAATTTCGATATATCAAGCAAATGTAATTGGACGGCTGAAAAGATTTCCTCATTAGTACTATACTCGTTCGATAGAGAATTTCTCGATCTACAAAACTATCAATTTGAGTTTTCAAATAACCTTTTTTTGTTAGAATAAAATACAAAATTTTTAATAAATGTTCATCTGAAATTTCAAATATGCAATAAAACTATTAAATGTGAAAACACTTAAAAACAAGCTTTTTTTAAAAGGATAATGTAATTGTTCTTTTTTAATTCAAAGAAACTTGATCGTTTTTCATCCTCAACACAACAGTCACATTAATTCTACATTTGACCGTATGAGAATGAATATTTTATACAATATGTTTCGCTCTCGAAAAAATGATTTTCCAAAATGTGTCCAAAAATATCACTACATAGGTATTCATTTCAAGTCTTTTTCTCCTAAATAATAGCATCAGGAACCTTGAAAAAATCATAGAAGCAGAGAGCACAAAATTTCCTATCCATAATATTCTCTATCGAATCAACATAGAATGCAGTTAGGATATATCCCATTTTATCTATGCTACCCATTATAAAGAATAATTTTTTCTTTTAAATAGAAAAATTTATTTTGACAAAGTGATAAAATGTAGATATTTATTATATGAAATTTATACGTTTAAACATTCTCAATCTGCATAGGATACAGAGATTTGAAAAGTCTTATACTTAAATTTTATATAGAAATCTTTTACGTATATTGTTTGATAATTATTCTTTTCATGTTTTATCAACAATTGTAATATCAAAGATTCTTGTTAATAAATTATAAATATAATCTTTTATTTCGATAGACATTGCGTTTTTCGCTTTCTGTTATTAATCATATTTTCATTGTACTACAGGGACAATTTTCTTCTTTACTTTGGGGAAAAAGGAATAAATTAAGTAGACTAATCGGAAGTACGACAGTTATTGATTTATTCATTCACTTAAGATTGTTTTTCGTTGTTTAGAACAGTATAACTTACATTAGCTACTTTAATTCCTTTACAAAAATCAATTTTTCCTTCTACTGGTAATAAATGTAATTTTGAAAAGACTTTGCCAACATCACTTGTCAATTGAGTAACAACTCGACCACTAAAACCCAAACAAAAAATACTTATTAAAAACAAGAATAAATTCTAATTAAAATCTTCATACTCTGAAAGTGTTAATAATCCAACATTATTTTCAGGATTCGATCTTGTCTTAGCATGAAATATAAGTGAAACAGCATCCTGCTGTGCTTGCATTCGTGTTGGAATAAAATCTCCATCACGCATAAAATCACTATTATCAACACTAAATTTACAAATATTTTTTATGTCAATATTATCAAAACAAAAAAAAACAGCATGCTCATTCTCACCAAATAATGGTACTTTCTAATGGCATAGTTAATTAGAAATCTAGAAAAAAAAGGATTTTTTTATTTCTTTTTTTTTTCATTATCACTTGTTATTTAACACTTAAAGAAAAAAAAACGTAAGCGCGACAGAAACACTGTTTTATACACAAATTCACACACTCAAAAGCAACGCACCGGGCGTCATTAGAGACATGACAAAAACAAGAAAACAAAATAAGAAATTGATATAATTGCATGGACCAGCCAGTAAGCACACTTAGAATGGAATGAAAATGATTGCTAGCACCAGAAGTAAAAATAAACAATGATAGTATACTATTAAGATGATCGCTGTTTAGGTAATTCATTTTGACTTCCAATACGTAATGCACGAATCCAATCTTTACGTTCTTCTTCTGATGATGATGACATTCGATAAACAGTATGATGACCTAAAATAAAGAATATTTTCTTTTTTTTTCCAACAAATATATTTAATATTAACCTTCAGTAGCTTTTCCTATTTCACCTAGTGTAGGTTTTGTTGTTTTAACTTTTTCTCCAGCAAGTGGAAAAAGTTCAAAACAAAATTGTTTTGTACGATCATCTTCAATTTCTCGAACACCAATATCAATTAATGGTATTATACCACGAGGATTATCAACTTCCTATTAAAAACAAATTATGTTTGATGAATAATTAAAAAATAATTTACTGTTCTAGATTCATAATAGAAAAGAAAACCGTCTGTTATAATAAACCATCGTCGTTTCCATTGTCGAACACGACCACCTGAATTATTTATTATTTATTTTTTTTTACTTTTTTTTTTTATTTCTTTCTTTACCTTGTTTCCATAACCATCCTTCTTTAATTATTGTAGAACCACTATTAAATACAATTACAAATAAAGGTAAATGAGTATTATGTGAATAACTCAAGGATACAAGTAACGTAGTAAGTTTATAGAACAGGGTCAAACAATAGTCGAGAAAACCCGTACTTGCCCAGCTGTGTATGTTATAGGAATATCAAAACTTTGATAATTCTATGAGCCTCTTAATTTTTATTGACGTAATGTTAATTACATTAAAGCAATCTTCATAAAAAAAACAGAGATTAAAACTCCTTCACCGTGTTTTGTTTTCATTCTATTATTAAGTAGTGACTATGGTTTTCTCTACTTATTCTGTTATTGATAGGTCGCCATGGTTGAATAGCTGCATTGTTCTACATTTATCCAAAAGGTACGGTATGTAAACATCAGTTCTACCAGCCATGAAATGCCCTTGAACAACTTACTAACACCTATTTGTCTTAAATCGCTCGTCCGATAGCATATTGACTACATTGTGACATACATTTACTCTTGTGGTTAGCAAGTGTGTCTGGGAAACTCGAGCAATTCAACGCAAAAGCTCTGTGCCATGCTGACCTTTTGTCCACAGCTACAATTAGTATTACTTCTAGAGAAGATATCGGACTACTGAAAATATCGCAAGGTAGCCGAAATGCAGGTTAGAAAAGATTTTCAGTCTTGAGCACATTATTGTAATATGTAATGTTTTCAATTTATCGTCATAATATAACTATTATGTATATAGTGTATATGAAATTATTAAATACATTTGTCGAAAAAATTGTTGTGTCATTCATTTACGTGATTTGTCAAAAAAATAGATTTGTAAATTCAATGAAAGTTAAATAGATAGAGTTGGAACTTTTAGCTTTTATAATTTAAATAATAACAAATTCTTCTATGCCAAATCTTTAAATGGACTAGAATGGCGCAGAAATTATTGCATACTTTTGATTATAAGAAGAAAGAAAAATAGACCTAAGCATATTATTTTTCCTACTAATATTGGTAGATTCATCACTAGTACACAATGACGCTAGAAAATTGTTTGTGCACTTCTAATAAAAAATAGACAAAAATTTCACAATAAAAAAAAAAAACCAAGCACTCTCGTGATTTCAAACAGAAAAAAAAAATTCGGAGTATTTTAACAAAGTAATTTTTTGCTAGAAAAATCTTTCAAAAGTCTTGCCATTAGTAAATAGCAAGATGTACAGGTTTTTATTATAACATTTACGTGTAGCTTTATATGAAATGTACGATCAATCTTAAGCTACATTAGAGGATAACAATTTTAGCATTTTTTATCTAGCAGAAAAGTTCAAAAGTGATTGGTCAATTGATCCTTTTCGACAGAGCAAGAGCTCGACTAATTTTACGCAAAAACAAACAACACTGGAATTTCGCTGAGGAATAACGAAACTGGGAGAATTATCCTACCTTCTGTTCAGAACATTCGTGATTATTCTCGATTCATACTCACCCCTCTTTAATTCTTGCGCTAACATTCGATAAATCAATATCATCATCAGGAAATTTCAATTCATTGTTTTTAATATTATCATAAATATTCTAAAGAAATAAATAATCTAAATTGAAAACCAACGAAAAAATTTCTATTATAAAATTTACTTTGATTAGATTTGTCTCGGGCATATGTTGACGTAGAATAGCTTCATGTAAACTACTGATAAATTTTTCACATGTAAATGGTCCACCACAACGAGCACTTTTATTATGTAATGATGTATTTAACATAATAATAGCAAATGATAGAATAAAACATACTTCTATATTCATTATTTAAATAGATAATTTAATTTAAATATAATATTCAATTTAACTTACCAGCATTAGCATATAGATCTGGATTACATTCATAATAACGTTGAGCAAAAGCTTCCATAATTCGATCGATTTTTTGTGCTTCACCAGGAAGAAGAAATGTAAATAAATAACGTCTAAAAAGAAAATAAAAAATCAATTACAACAGATTTAATGTGATAAACAATCAACCTCAGAGCTTCAACAATATCAGTCGAGAAAAAATCAAACATATGAGCAAACTGTTTGAGAACTTCAATATGAGAATCATCTCTATATAAATCAAAAAAAAAGAACAAAAAAAATGTATCTTTAATATTGTACATTATAAAATTAAATACTTTTCTCCAAGATAATCACCAATTGCACGTTTACTTAAACCTGTTTCATTGAATAGAAACGTAGCCACATGTTCTGGTGTATTTTGAATAAGATTATTATCAACAAGCCAACGTATACCCTAGAAAAATTACAAAAATAATACATATGATGTCCCAAACACCCGTCAATGAAAGGTAATGTAAAGACCTCTTATACAATTCAAGCGATTTATTTGACTTTTTAATAATATAATAGTATATGTTCTTTAAAGTTTTGTTCTGCATATTTTCAGACAAAATCTCTGTATCTATAAAAATCAGCAGAAAAATTGTTTTATAAATGACCAAATTGGGGTCACACATGGTTGTGAAACGACAACTGCAAGTCAAGTTCGGCAAAAAAAACACACAGAATGAAGATTCTATTAAATTTATATTTTAATGCTTTTGCGAAATTTATGCAGTGAATCATCGAGAACGTTCTGGAAGACCGTCAACAACTACAGAAGAGAAAGTTGACGAAGTTTATGATGTTGGTAAAAAATGGACCACAACAAAGTGTTCGAGTTGTCACAAAGACCAGCTTCATTCTACGAACAAATTGTATATTCTACAGTTTCAATAAAAGGTATTCAATTATGATTCGGTGAGCTGCTGTTCATGAAATGAAGCAGATCTTTGAGAAAGGTCGAACATTTGATTGCTTTAATGAAATTTTCACTTTGTGTGTTTTTACCGAACTCGACTTGAAGTTTTCGTTTCACAACCATAGATGATGACTAGAGCTCGTCGGGTTGGTCTCGAATTCGAATATTTTGGACCCAATAGACTCTAGTCATCTAAGAAATGTGTAGAGTGCGCCAGTCACCGAATGCAAAAAGTATGACGTATCTTGGGGACAACTATTCAATTCTGATTAGAAAATTTCATTGAGAATATCAAAGTACAATTCGATCGGATCCGAATACTTTGAAATCTAATGAGCTCTATAGGTGACTTAAATTTAATCATTTATAAAACAATTTTTATTTTGATGTTTACGTGTCCACGCATTTATCTGAAAATATACAGAATAAAACTTTAAAAAATCAATTAAATCGTTTGAATTAAATAAGAGATATTAACGTTATGTTTTTCTGATGGACTTTCAGGCCATTAGATATAGATTATTTTATTTTTATATATACTTACTTCTTTTGGATTTTCATTAAATTGTCTTCTACCATCAATCCATTGTTTGATATTTCCATTTTGACGACTACAATCAAAGAGAAATCAAAAAAAGATTTTTATTAACAAAAAATAAATTAAAAACCTTAATAATCGAGATTTAAGTGAAACTGGTACCGTAAAATAACGAACATAACGAATCGGTTTTAATGGGTGAATCATCGAAACTGGCATCGTATTATTATGTTCAGACATCCCATGATGTTCATGCATATGCATTCGAAATGTTTCAAATTTTTGTTCAATATTCAAACCATTATGATGTGCTTTCTTACTCTCATGACTTTCAATTTTCTCAACGATTCTTGGTGATTTGATTATATTCGTCTTAGATACTGTCCATAATGATTTTTGTTTATGGTCGTCCATAATCTATATTGTTGATCAGCAAAAAAAATAAATAACTATTGATGTAAATGCTCGAATATAAAGCAGACGTTGTTAAGAAAGAAAAAAAAGTGACGCTTCAATTATTTTCTTTTTACCCCTTTTTTTACTTCAGTACTCAAATATATATAGCTGGTATAATTATTATGTTAGTCATTTTTCTTTACCTTGTTTTATACTATACATAATGACTAAGAAACATCGAAAAGTCATGAATATATAATGATTCATTTATCTATTTAATACATACTTTGTATTATTCTGAGATTGTATTATTGACATTTCAACTTCACATTGAGCAATTTTTTCACGAATTTCCTTTAAATATTAAACATAAAATTTAATTATCAAAATCGTATATAAAATCCAAGACAAAACAAGCTACTCATTTTCCTCTCTCAAGTGCATCATTCTTAATAATATTGAAATCATACTATTAGTGCACGTATGTAATAATAAACATTGACGTAAGCATCCACCTGGCCTTGATCGGATCACAGGTACCAGATTGATCATAAATGAAATGTATTTGAATCATTTTTAGGAACAATCGAGGTTCTCTAAGTTGCCTAACCCTTGTCAATAGAATAAAAGCTCAGTCTTATGCTTGTCATATTCGAAACGTAATAAAAGTTCACCATGTCCAAATAAGTACAAAATAGGTAAGTATATGATTGAATAGATTAGTTTATTGCTTTTTGCTGTTTAATTGTAATTTCTTTGGTGTATCTAATCTAATTTGTTCTACATGCTTTCTATTAACGTACGAATGAGTTTCTTTTGTGAGTCGAAAAACATATGTACATGGATTTTAATGAGAAATAGCTGTTCAGCAGCTGGCAACTAGGAAATAAGCATGATTTAATACTATTCTAGTATGGGATTATGCAGAATCTAGAAATGAAACGATGTAAATTTTTATTAAGGTAATAGAAATATGAACAACTCCTTAACTGAAAAATGAGGCATCACACAATGTTGAACGATAGTTGATTGAAATAATGCGAGAGATTTTCGGACTCAAAAGAAAGTGCTAGTATGAAATGAGTATGATAACAATTGTTGAAACACTCATAAGATCTGAATTATCTATTTCATACAAATGAGTAGCACTCATTTGATAGTAAAAAGTTTAATTTATATTTCTTTCAAGATAATTGAAATATATCTCCTTGTGTTTCTGAATTGTACATATGCTGCTAAGATAACGTTACCTAACAGAACGATATAGAAGTTTTTTATTTTCAACTTCTCCAAAGCTCGATAGTTTCTCAAACCAACATATAACAACAAGGGCAGTTTAGCATATCCATACTAAGATTCACCAAGTGTTGATCACAGACGAACGTGTGAATAAGAAAATGTAATGAACGCATTATTCAGATTATCTGATAACATAAAACTGGAAAAGTTTTAGAAATCAATTTTTAATTCGTCGATAACTTTCATAGCGCTGGTATGAAAGTTCTCAGATAGTTTGGAAACTTCAATTTATCGGATCTTGTGTATTTCGATGTTTGTAAACAAATCAAATCAAATCATAGCTACAAGATAAAAAAAGCTGATCGCAATAAAAGTTCATTTGTGAAACAAATTAGAAGCCTAGTGGGCTACTATTCTGTGTAAGAGCTTACTAGTAATATTAGATAGAACACTATAGGTTTTTTTCAATAATAAGCTCTGTTTTTTTATATTCATCGTAAAAACTAATGTATTTTGAAGACTCGATTCCTGTTTCTTTAGAACTTAACAGAAACGAGAATATAGTTTCGAAGATATACTAATTAAATTCCGAAAAAATATCTATTTTACAGTGAATAC